AGGCTAATGAATAAGCAACTTAACTGTACACCAAAAATTACACGAGGTAACCAATGTTTATTCCCAGCAAACACTAAGTATTTGTCACATATATAACGCAACAACTTCGCTGAGGATTTTATTGTTCACATTACATAATACAACGAATCCGTCCTACTGGACGGATAGCTGCAGATAGCGGTCATACATTTCCAAACTTTAAAGTCAAATGGTTTAGCAGAAGATTTGTGAATGCTTGTCAGCTCCAGAAATTGGTTTTCCTGGTATTCTAAAATTTCCTTATTACATTCCTATGTGAACTATTCCAACTTCTGGACAGACGAAGATTAGTACACATTCATGTATTCACTCGCAGCTTGAACGGTTATCATGTGCGTGCTTCAGAAACCTTTTAATATTTGGCAAATCATTTAGTGTTAACACTGATGAAATCAGTTAAGAAGGAAAATCATTGAGGTTCTGTATTCCGTCCATCGTCGTCATGTCTCAACTGAAGTTAGCAGTAGGCCACAAAAATGCATTGAATATAAGAGAATTAAACATCTTTTAACAAACCAAATTGTTAGCATACAGTTTACAGCCTCATTCAACTGTATACAGCTGAAGTACTTTAAAATAACAAATGTTTTGTAAATCGCTCGTCCTCATAACCGTTATTAGATAAGTCTTTAGGATGTATAAACGTAAGAAGACAATACGAAGCGGCAACTAGTTTATTACTATACAGAGCAGGTCACAAAGCCGCAAGCACGCGAAGCCTATACGAACAGACATACAAATGAGAAGGAACACCGACGTGGGAATGAAGTAACAGGATTTGGGAAGTACAATTACATGGGAAAGAGAATGAGTCGTCGAACAGTTTAAGCAACCGAGATTCAAAACTGTATGGGAAATACGTGACCACGCGCCCATACTTATAGAAGCAAAGAGATAATAAGGGATTTTTAGCGACGAAAATGAAACTGTTCAATAAAATACTTAAAGGGTTTGTTAAATTTTAACCTGTATAAACAGAAATGCGAGTGTGTATGCGGATCAATGAATTGATTTAAGAAGCACGTATATAAGGAAACGAATGAGTCATCCAGAGATTTCGGCTTTTACATATGGTCAGGCATATATGCTCATAAAAACATGATTATGATTATACAAATATATAAACTAATTGTTACAGACTAAATGACACTGACGGTTAAATAAATTGGTCGAAATGCTTAATAAAAATATACCTATACAGATTAGGTTAGATGTTTAGGTGTCCGACTGGACAACATAAGTAAAACAGGTGGGTGTGCCATTCTGGAACCAATATATCAAGGTTAAAATCTCCTGAATAATTATTTGCGAGCATAAAGCACTTAGACTGAAGCTCGTATCAGTTGGGCCTATGGAGTTATGTTGACTTTCTATTGAGTAATAGAAGAGCATCTTACTGTCGAGGTTCTGAGTATTGCGAACTTTTGGTTAATTAAAGAATATATCTGACAAGTCAACGGTCTGTGAAATGGTAATCGATTGCTATCACGGAAATATGAAGTGTTTTCCAAATCTATGCCTAGCACGATAAAAATATCCATGCTACAGCCGAATATCAACCCTTTGCTTCAATTGACAGTAACAGAGACGAATAAATAAAGACACTGACCCAAGAAAACACATCATAATGCACATATATTTGATGAACCATTGTAGGTGAAAAATGCATGCTATTTCAGACCAATGTAATAAGTCTATTTAAGAAAACCTAGTATCAGTCAGTAACAACGTAGAACTTCGTACGTATGTACATCAGTTCGAGTTGCCACACCACATTAGAACAGAGATGCAGTTTTCGATTCAAATCCCGTAGTGGTAGAGGTAGCAAGAGTATAAGCAGTAATCGGGAAGACTAGGGTTTGGAGATGTTATTTAAAGAGTATAATACAGTGAAATAAATTTGGAAAGAGGAAAAAACGGACATGAAGGATTCACAAGATTAGAATTTAGGAGAACACAGAGAGTGGATGCACCTGCGCCATTGCAAACGATTTTGAGCCATGTCATTCAGGGTCTCTAACCATCGGTTGCTATCATCTCGCGGTCCCCAACCAGGTAGTCTACACCTACCAACATGACTCAGTCCACTTGTCAGTGACTTCATGGACTTGTGCCATGTTTTGGTTTGGCCGCCCCTAGCTTTCTTCCAACCTACTCCTATACCACTGAACATAGCACGTCGAGGCAGTCGGCCGTTGGGCATAAGTAACACGTGTCCAAGCCATCTCAACTGATGAAGTTTCACTACTTCATCAATTGATTTGCCATCCTTACCTAGTACCCGTTTCCTAACAACTGAGTTACTTACTCCATGGTCCCATGATATACGAGCAATATTTCGAAGACACCTATGATCAAATACTAGTAACCTACGAATATCCTCTACTCTTACCGGCCATGTTTCACTGCCATAAAGTAGGACGGAACGATCTGCTGCGCAGTAAACACGTCCTTTGGTAGGTCGATGGATATCTCCCCTACCCCATAAATGACGCAAGTTGGCAAAAGCTAATCGAGCCTTCTGAATCCGTGCTGAGATTTCGTCACACACCAGACCACAAAGGCTGATGAGACTCCCAAGATAAGTGAAGCGGTCGACACGCTCAACTACTTCCCTCTCTATCACTAGTTCGGGTGTCGATGTAACCCAATCCTGAAGCAACATTTTGCATTTCGAGGGAGAGAATCGCATCCCGAACATGCTTGCATTGTTGCTTAGAGTGGTCAGAAGACTGCATTTTGTCAGCGTCTTCACCAAATAAAACTATGTCGTCGGCATATTCTAAGTCAACAAGTGAACCTCGTGTAGAAGTTCAACCCCTGGAAATTTAGATGAGGAGAGTGTTATCTCTAAAAGTACGTCGACCACAAAGTTGAACAAGAATGGGGAGAGTGGACAGCCCTGACGAACACCACTTGAGGTAATCAATTCTGATGACAGTTCGCCATAAGCTCTCACTCTACCAGTTGTGTTAGAGTAGAGAGCCTTTATAAGGTTAATGTACTTCTTTGGTACTCCTTTCAGTGACAAACACTGCCATAGAACCTCACGATCAAAAGAGTCGAATGCCGCCTTAAGGTCGAGAAATACTACCATTGTGGGGCATCCAGCACTACAGGAAACAGATACGAAATTTAAGGAAAAGTGTGACGAGACATATTTTTATTAAGGACAAATGTATTTGAGTGCTTAACTTTTAAATGGCTAGTTAACGGAAGAGCTGCACTATAGAGACTGTTGGCACTTGATCCATTTTGCATGTTCGCCCATTCTCTTTCAGTTAGTAGTGCGTCCAGTAAAACTAATGAGGTTAAAATGTAAAAAGTTTTTAAAAATTACCCCTACCAATACATTATTGCAACGTAGACTACGAAATCAAGAATGGAAGAGTATGCAGTCATCGTTAATATGCGTCTTACAGGATAATAAAAAGACACGGCAAGATATATTGTAACAGTTCAATGTTATAATAAAAGTCTAGAAAATATTTTCGGAGCAACCAGAGAAGCAGTTAAAATAACATTAATACAAAATACATATCGAAGGAGAATAGGATATTATCTGAACATCTGTGGAAACAGTAGTGATAACTACTGCTCAGCTCGCCTAGCTCTAAATACTATAAGGGTTAGAGGTAATTTGAACGTAGGCTAATAAAATCTTTCCAATGATCATGAGTAGTGGTGGGTAGAATAGTCAAAAATGATAGAAAAGGCAACGGCGACAAGCAATAGTCACAATTGATTGATCACTGGGTGGTGATCAATGTCATGCTTGTCTAGTCCTTAGTAGTGCAGATCGAACGCTATCGATCATGTTGCAATGTGGCCACCAGTCTAGGCGACTCGACACTGCGGGCACTATGTATTGAGATTAGATGGTGGTTGGAGGTAGTCAACAGGAAACCCTGGACCCGGGTTTCGTGCTACTTGGCATTCGTCAGCAAGGTGTACCTGTAATCTTGAGGGAACTGGTACTCCCTGGCGGATTCGATCTCGTGCCACCCAGCTTCACAGTCAGAGACGTTACCACTGAGCTATCCGAGCCGTGACTAACCTCCTGTAGGACTGAGATGTAATCACAATTGATTGATCACTAAGTGGTGGTCAATGTCATGCCTGTCTAGTCCTTATCAGGTACACCTTGCTGACGAGTGCCAAGTAGCACGAAACCCGGGTCCAGGGTTTCCTGTTGACTACCTCCAACCACCATCTAACAAGCATAGTAGACAACTATTCAAACTTATCAAGGAAACAAGTATTACACATCTAACTGTTAGTGAGACTATTCCACAAAAAAGGACCATTATCCACCCCCGATTCAAGAGACCCGGCCGATGGGCAGAACACTCAAGGGAACAGTCCAACTGACCCTCAGTCACACTTCAATTAATCACTATCTCCATCTCCAAGCCACCTGAATAACAAGTATTCCAGTTCTCAGTGAGGTTGGAAATCCTATAAGCAATCATGTATGACCTGTCACCAAACAGAGGTATGCACAACGAAAGCTTTACGAATATGGTACCACGGGTATAAAACGGATTACACACAAGTATAAACGTCCATATATAATGTATAAAATTCTATAATATTAAACAAAAAGAAATAAGCTTTATGAAGTAAGATATAGCACGTACTTTACCGATTACAATAGGATTTAGAAAATCTCAGATTCATTTCAACACAGTACAACTACTAGTGATCTACAACTTACAATTTTCTGTACAATAAACCATCACTTACTACAGATATTGGATTTTTATTAACATTTTAGAAAACAGTGCATAGTAATCCAAAAGTGATTTAGTCTTGATGAAATTTTAATTAATTACAAGTCCAACAGTAAAAATCAGCAAAATTAATAATTTTTTATCTGGATACAATATACAACTATGTACAAAGAGCAAAAATCGATAAAAGGCAGCTAGTGGTTGAGATGATTGTTCAAAATATTATGATTATCGTTTGGGTTTGTGTTTTGGATTTCTAGACCCTGATTCACGTTTAGAGTGTTTAACTTTCGGGCGAGAGGTTACAGAACCACGTGAGCTGCCTTTTGTAAGATGAGAAACAGAATCTTTACTTGAGAATTTTATAAGTGTATTTGGTGGTAATGGTTTTTGTGAACACTTCGGACAAAACCATTGGGGAACTTCAGGAGCCTTGGAAAGCCCTAAACATGTGCTTTAAGGGAAAAACGAAAAAAAAACAGTAAATAAAAATGACGACTTGAAAGGTTCGAATGAAAATGAGGAAAACAGTTGACCAAATTTAGTACGTTAAAAATACTCTTTTTGACAAATAAAAGGCATGTCAATGAAAAAATCTAATTCTTTGTTAGTTATTTATAGGACTCAAATATTCTGGAATATTATGATACACAGCTTATATTCCAGATATTATAGGTAGAAGAATTAGTAGTGTTTTGAATGTTGGTATCATAGCAGCTCCTAGTGTTGTATAATTTTAAACAATCCAATCTGACTGGAAAGTTGCACACACCTAGTATCCTTTAGTGGGGTCCTATTACTTAAAATCTTTTCAGAAACTTAATTTGGTTGAGCTATTTGACTTTGTCCAACTAGGTAGTGCAGTGGACGAGTTACGATAAGATTCATTGTTTTGTCTAGCAACTCTATCACTTAATATGACTTACAGAGCTTTCATGATATGATGACTCACAGAACTAACTTAAATTATAAGGTTTTTCCACGCATTAGTGAGCTTGTCGGTTATAGGAAAATCACAAACACAGAAACGTTGCAAAATAGCCCTCATTGTTTAGCGAAGCCATGAGCAAATTTAAACTGTATTCATGGTGCCATGTAAGTGGAGCAGAGTAGATTATCGTCTGTCCTTCCCATCAAGTTGAATACTAGTTGTAAAACTAGAATTGTTTGAAGATGGAAAAATTGCTTATTAATAAAGACCAGTTCAGTTGAACATAAAGCGAGAACGTGGTCAAATGTAGGCAAGTAAATAAAAAAGCACGAGTTCAGTTTATATCGATCATGTCAGTAAATATTTTCCATGTAATCAATCAGATTATCGAGGTTCAATAGCGAGAGAGGCAATGTAGAATATACGTAATCACCAAACCAAAGTTCATTCTAGAAAAATTGTTTACGTTCTGAGTATATCTCCATGACATGACCCACATTATCTGCAGTAATCTCAGACTAAACAAGTTAATATGAGTAAAAAGTGGATTTATACAAATTTATACATAAAACACCTCTTCTCAAGCAAACCTAAAGATTCTTACATAGAAATACCATCAGTGAGCTATTCTAACCGTTGTTCCGAAAGCTTATAATATAGAAACTGTATCACTCTGAAATTAAAGGTCGAATCGTATTCTCTGATGGACGAATTTAACAAATAAACATTGGTAATCACAAAAGGAAACTGAGAAATATCTGAAAACCAACTATTGAATTTCCTGAGTTTTTAAGAAATCCTTCGACAGAAAACTGTAAACGTGTGAACGCTGTATAAATAATGGGTATGGTATCCCTGTTACTCATTATAATCAAAAGAGTGGAAATCTTCACTATTCAATGACAGATAATCATTATGACTATATAATTTAACTTACCTATGATACCAATCTTGACAATTATCACAGCCAATCATCAAATTGCCATCATCTTCCAGTAAACAAATAGGACATAACCATATTTGCTCACCATCATTATTCTACGATTAATTACGCAAAACAATAAAAATGAATATAGATGCATAGGATAATTCACTGCAAACAAACACCACCTTTACAAAGATCCGTTTAGAAAGATATTACAAAAATTGCCGTCAAGCTTTAGAAAATGACAGAATGGTACCCAGTAGTAAATTTGTTTCAATTCCTACCACAAACTGCGGTTATTGATTTAGGAAATTCTTACAACTAAAATTCTGGGTTCATGATATCTAACTGGCACTAACTCAAAGAACACAACAAATGTTATTGATATAAGTCAAGTATACACAACTCAGGAGTAAATTGCAGGTCACTGTAACAAGTCTTGAGGAAAAATTGTTAAATAAGATTTGTAGATACTACTGAGTTACAAATCGTGGGTTTATTGGTTGCTAGGTTGGTACTCAAATAAGTGAGTAACAATTAGACAGTAACAATATAGGAAACTATGATCTATGGTGAAAAAATATATTCTCCTAACTAGCAGACACTTAATTTCAGGATCCATCAAATATATATATATATATATATATATATATATATATATATAACATGGTTATTCAGTCAAGTTAACGAGGTGATTAGTGCACCATGGATAATTCACGGATGCTCTACTAAGAATTAAAAGCCTTTAAACTTGACCACAAGCACATAATCTACAAAGACTACAACGATTTACACAAAATTATATTGGCAAATATTCTCTTTTAGTGTTTCTATGTTGGAAATCGCTAAGTGACCAATAAAAATGCATGAATATCGGAATAATGTTACAACATGTTAAGTAAAATGAGGGTGAAGTGTTGAATAACCATTCTCTTTACTTACAAAATAATATGAGCTGCCAGCAGATTCAACAACGATTTGTGAAGCAGATTCACGGTGAACCATTTTGGAAGATATGTTATTACTTGATGGGGTTTTGATTGGCGAAGCAGGTATGAGTTTGGATCGGCCACGAACTTTCCCACTTTTAAGTGATGCAGAACTTTTTGTACTACTGGTATGAGATGATAACTTGGTGACAGGACGATATAAAGACTTTTTGTTATACAAACCAGTGTGTTTTGTTCGTGGTTGGGTTTTCAAAGGAGGTACAGTAGAATTAAGAGAGGGAGCTAAAGAATTAGCAGGAGGATTAGTTATATACATATTTTCGCTGTTAGATGGACGAAGGGATTTCTGGTTATTAACTGAGTCATTTGAACATGAAGCTGTAAGTGACAACAGAGGGGATTTTTCTTCGTTTTTAGTATCACTATCATCATCTGTAAAGACGGAATCGACGGTAGCACGTGGTCTGTTAATAATTGATTCAGTTTCTGGAGAATGAACTGCATAAGACTGGATCAATGTTCTTCGCTTGCCTAGAGGTAAACGAGAATCCTGATCAGTGAGTCTTCTTTTTTTCTGTCACCGAGACGTGAATCTAACGAAAAAATATAAGACGAAACTAAATGGTCACTCAGAGACTATACATTACACTTCCAACTACATTGACGAAAAATTCGAAGCAATAAAATGTTTGGAATATTTGTATGGTTACAACAGAAAATTCTATACTTTGTTAAGCATACCGTTAAATATAGATGGTTTATTTACACAATTATTTAGCGAAAAAGTAATGGGTCAGTGATTGATATATCTTACTTCTAAGCATTAAGATGTTATTCAAGGAGTATAATACAGTGAAATAAATTTGGAAAGAGAAAAAAGGGACATGAAGAATTCAGAAGATTAGAATTTGGGAGAACACAAAGAGTGGGTGCACCTGCGCCATTGCAAACGATTTTGAGCCATATCATTCAAGGTCTCTAACCATTGGTTGCTATCATCACGCGGATCCCAACCAGGTAGTCTACACCTACCGACATGGCTCAGTCCACTTGTCAGTGACTTCATGGATTTGTGCCATGTCTTGGCCTAAACGTCTGCTTTCTTCCAACCTACTCTTACACCTTAAAACATCGCTCGTCGGAGAAGCCAGTGTTCGGGTACACGCAACACGTGTCCCAGACAGCTCAACTGATGAAGTTTCACTACTTCATCAATTGATTTGCCATCCTTACCTAGTACCCGTTTCCTAACAACTGCGTTACTTACTCCATGGTCCCAGGATATACGAGCAATGCTTCGGAGACACCTATGATCAAATACTAGTAACCTACGAATATCCTCTACTCTTACCGGCCATGTTTCACTGCCATAAAGTAGGACGGAACGATCTGCTGCGCAGTAAACACGTCCTTTGGTAGGTCGATGGATATCTCCCCTACCCCATAAATGACGCAAGTTGGCAAAAGCTAATCGAGCCTTCTGAATCCGTGCTGAGATTTCGTCACACACCAGACCACAAAGGCTGATGAGACTCCCAAGATAAGTGAAGCGGTCGACACGCTCAACTACTTCCCTCTCTATCACTAGTTCGGGTGTCGATGTAACCCAATCCTGAAGCAACATTTTGCATTTCGAGGGAGAGAATCGCATCCCGAACATGCTTGCATTGTTGCTTAGAGTGGTCAGAAGACTGCATTTTGTCAGCGTCTTCACCAAATAAAACTATGTCGTCGGCATATTCTAAGTCAACAAGTGAACCTCCTGGTAGAAGTTCAACCCCTGGAAATTCAGATGAGGAAAGTGTTATCTCTAAAAGCACTTCAACGATAAACAAGAATTGATTATTAAATCACTACGTAAATTTATACCACAATATGCCCCTAGCTATGGATATACTGAATTTTCTATTTAAGGTACTATGCAGTTTATGTATAGAATCGCGTGGATTTTAGAGCCTGAGTAATATAGAGTAGTATAATGCATTTAGTTGGTCTTTCAAACGTTCTGAATGGCAGTTTAGGAATGGGGTAACTCAATGTGAAATATTGAACGTTATCATACATATCAGCTGAGTTTGTGGAATTAAGCGTAGACGAATTTACAATAGAAAGTAACATAACAAACAATAACCATGAGAACAGTTAATAAACCTAAGATAATTTTTGTATCACGCATCATAATCTTCCACTACCAAATATCTCTTATCAAATAACATGAGGATTTCCATGAGTCACTGGCAATATCTGACTTCTTAATCTTTCTCCACTGACATTTTAAAGTATCAAATGACAAACGATGTAATTTTTCATGTGAGTGTAACTTTAGCACAACAAAATACTTCTAGTGTACGTAAATACAAAATCAATAAGGATTACTTGATTTTGAATTGTCACAATGTAAAGACTGTTCTGTTGAAACTGGACTTGACTTAGATGATAGTGAGATAGACTCCTTTTGTTCCGAAACCGACGAAAATAGTGGGAGAAGAGGTGGAAGGTGACAATGAGTAGCGGTAGGATTAGGACCATTCGACATAATTGTGCCTGGTGAAACTATGTGCTTCAAAGGTAAAATATTGTCTGATTTCTTTATACTGTTTGTTAGGGATGGAGGTGGCAACTGAGAATGATGAACTAAATTTATTTGAGTGGTAGGTTTAGTCGTTAGGAAACCACCATGACCTGGTCGAGGTGGCAAGCGTTCCAGAGAAGGAGGCGGTGGCAAACTCGCAGATCCCGTAGGACTAATGTGAGGATGAACAACTACTTCTTCTTCACTACTTGAAAGACTTCCTGTAATTGTTGAACTCGTATTTGATGCATTTGAATCGCTACCTTGTGAAGCAGTGCGGCCTCTATATTTTAGTCTATCGCGAGAGATAGTCAATTGTAAAGGAGGTGGTGGGGTTATTAAAGAACTTGAATGCTTCTTGTCAACAACTGAAGTGGGATTTTCTGAATAATTTGTCAGATTTTGACTAACCGACTGAGGATGTGTAGTTGCAATATTCTGTGGCTGAGATGCTGCAATAGAACCATTCCCGAGGCGAATAACACTGAATAGAAGGAAAAAAAAAACAGAAAAACTACAAAATTACATTCAAAAATGTGAAATATTTCACGAAATTCGAAGTGTATTATATGGAAAATAAGAACAGACTACAAATTTGATTGTAGATCTATGAACCGTTAAGATTTTCAGCTGGTAATATGGTATATCGATTAAAAGATAATCAGAACAAATAAACAAGACTGATTGGTGTTTTTCGTAAGCTTTTAAGGTAACTTATTTGCTAAATACAAGGTCATGTACCCGGCACCATGGCACTAGTGAAACTGAAGTAACAAAGACAGAAGACGAAATTTAATTTTCGTTTACCTTGTATGGAAGATATTTGATATTAACAAGGTGTACGATAATCGATCTTCATATGTATCGACTACTGAAATATCTTAACCAAGAATAATGTTCTTGGATCCACTTAGACAAAACGAGTATCGAATGACCGATATTCTTAGCATCATAGGAACAGGTAAGCTGATAAATGCACATTAAAGCGGTGAGATAAATTAACTTATACTTTAGGTCATTGGTAAACATAAGTCTACTAAAGACCACTAATACTAACCTTTTAAATTTCATTCACAGTTCTCTTAGCATTTTGAAGAGAGCAAAAGCAAAGACTCTAGGAAACTAGCATGAATTTATTTTATTTCGTTTGGTTCTTATCAGCTGCTTACAACCTATGATATATAAACCATAATTACAAGATGAGTTTAAATTACTTACATGAAAGAGTTTAGTTGGAAGTTATGTTGAAGATAAATTAGTATAGTACAGCAAGGGTGTAAATAAATTGAGCAGACTGAATATTGTAAATATATACCTCATGTAAAAGAAGGTTCTACAACATTGATTGTGACAACAGTTCAAATGACCAGAAACAAGTGATTACATAATGAGTAAACGCTGGTAGGAATACAATGAGTAAAGCTCAGTTAATAAAATAAGATTACTAATCTGGAAGATGGTTGAAATAAAAACTCAATGGTGTAATAAATGGAAGAAAGAGTTAGAAAAGTTTAAGATGCAACGAAGGAATATTTGTCACCAAGGCAAGGAAAGATTAATAACCATTTACTTTTGAACACGTAAGTCAAGTTTTTGACGCCTGATAGCAACGGCTTCAACAAACTTAAGAAGATTAGAGTTTGGTTGTTTATTAACCACCTTGAAAGATTGCAAGGTATCGACCTAATATCCTGTATCTAAAAGATGTTTGGTAATCGCACTGTTTAAAGTCGTTCTTTCTCTTGTTCGAAGGCTTTTTGGAACATGCTTAGAATATTCAAGATGAGCCCTCCTTTCTGTTCGTCCAATGTAGCTGCTTTGGCAGGTGCACGTAAATTTACAAACAAATGGAGGTATTATGAAAAAAATGCTTGTAGGCCTGTGATTGGGTTATTGAACATGTTTTATACAGAATTAATAGTTTGGCTGCCGGTTAATGCAGTGTTAAGCCTTCTGCTGATTGTGTTTGCGACGTCATCACCTTTAAAGTTGAAATTTATAATTATTGGTTTTTTATTGACTGTAGTCACTTCCGTCTTCTTTTCACCAGTGCTTTCTTGTAAATAATTGGACAAAAACTATTGAAATTCAGGTAAAGGTCATTCCAAGTAGTTTCCTTGATAAAGCGAACGTTGAACTGTCCCGTCTCTCCTGCGTCTTATTGCAATATCAAGAATGTGGAACATGTAATTATGTTCTTGTTCCATAGTAAATTGTAAGTTAGGATGAACATCGTTAAAGAGTTTTAACAGGTGAACTACATATTTATTTGAACACAAACATTGGTACAAAGGGGTACCAAACACATGCGTCACACAATAACAATGAAGCTGTGAAGAGATAGAGAATGTAAAGTGTGTATAGTAAGAGAACAACAACGAACAGAAATTAGTGTATGAGAGTGAAATAATAATAATAACAATGGGAGAAACAGTTCAGTTAGCAAAAATATAACCAGAAAGAATTCTTTCAATTAAAGTTAGGTTCATTTTTTATGAAGAAAGTAAAAAATTTACAGCAGGATCGCTACTGGCTTCTATTCTGAGCCATTCCTGATAACGTCTCAATCCACTGTGTCGCATCATCTCTAGGACACCAAGCAGAGTCGTGAAGGACCAACCAAAACCAGTCCTATACAGCTTTCTTTCATACCACGACACCATATCATACACTGACCATCTCTCCGCTCTTTTCAACCGGTCCCGGCGTTGGCAAATAATGCACGGTGTGGAATCCTGTGGGACGACATTCGTAAGACATGTCCAAGCCACTGAAGCCGATGTCTCAAGATGATGACACTATTTGAATTTTCGTCGCTGTACCCGAACACGCGTTGCCGAACCTCTTTATTACTAAAACGACCTGTCACTGGATGTCAGTAATCCTTTGGAAACAACGACGATCAAACACAGACTCGTCTAACATATGCATAAAACAAGACTACTCACTGACACGTAGATTCGAACTTTTGCAGTTAAACTAACTTCAAGAAGGCGCCAAAGATGGACCAGATTGGCATAAACCGCAATAGCTTTCACTATGCGTGAATTCATCTCATCACTCATGCCACCACCAGCACCCACGCAGCTATTTGTATACATGGACTCCTCGACTACTTCTATCCGCTCACTACCCAAGGTGAGTTCAAGATCAGGGGCCTGTCAGTCTTGTAAAAGTACTTTCCACTTCGAAGGTGTGAAGCACATACTATACCTATGGACACCAACTGATTAAATGCAGATTGTATGACTTGGGTTTAATCGCACAGTAAGACAATATCATCTGCATACTCAAGGTCCAAAAGTCTTTCTCTATGCAACAGATCCACACCACCATTACCTACATCCATCAGAGCTGTTTTCAGAATGTCATCGATGGCACAGTTGAAGAGGAATGGTGAGATTGGGCAACCCTGTCTAACCCAAGTGCTTGAATGGAACAATGGAGAGGTTGTTGTATGCCCTTATTGTGTCTGAGGTGTTTCAAGATGTTAAGAAACTTCTCAGACACACCCTTGCTGATTTGTGTGCTACACCTATTCCAAATGGATTTATTAATCGCGATGTAAGTTCTGATATTTCCTTTACATATAGAATATAGGATGATCCGTTTTTGGATTCCGTGCATGATTTCGTTTCTGTTGATGAGTTGGGTTGATACTTTTTGTGAAGTTGTGTGGGTAGACATTCTTTATAAGAATAGTCATTAGATATTTTTATTTATTTTTTCGCGCTGCAGTGTGTTGAGAGAAAACTGTAAGCTTAAAGGATCCATATAAACTGACAAATTCGGAGTAATTTTGATAAGTATTCGACAAACAAAGGGTTTTTAGGATATGTAAAAATAGAGTTTATGACTTAAAACGCACTTATTTATATGTTTGTAAAAGTAAAGAAGCATCAGATTAGGTGGAGTGTTAGAAGACTGCACAAAAAATAAAGTTTATATTAGAAGTGGTTACTAGAACTGATATTATATAGTATCATGTCCTTAAAGCTTATGCAGATGAATTAGGCAGATAGACACTACTGAAAAAATAGAAATAATGAAAAACTCCCAAATTAATATAATAAATAGATGCGATGGCATAAATTAGGCTATGAACTACGCTGCGAATAGAAGTTAGGGATATTTAAATATGCAAATCATTAAATATGAACATCGATTTAAAGTCGTGATTAAGAAATTAGATATCGAATCGATTAGATGTTAAAATGGGGGGGGGGGTAAACGACGCCTTACATGATCGTCTAGAGGAACGTAACAGCCCCCATTTTTAAACATTGAGCAGAAACCTGTTTTGTCATAATCTGCTTAGCAATATGATCACTAAATCTTACTGTTCAAGAATGGATTTTAATAACACTTTGATATTCAGTTAGATAGTAATTGTTTTTGGATGAGACTAATGGATTTGTAAGCTGACAAGTGTGTGAATAAACTCTTTAAGCATGGAACAATGACTGAATTTTATTCATCACTGACAAAGGAGACATCTCACAATCTAGACACATTTGAAGACAAAATATTCGATCTTTTGTTTTACATCACATTTGTAACCGGAGATTTCATGCATAAACTGAAGTAATTAAAAATGTAAAATGAATCCTGACTACAATTAGTAGATTAATAGTGGAGTAAACTACACTTTATCCGCAATAATTCCCAAGCAAATTACACACACAACAGATACTACATAGATTAATATTGATTTATGAACTTACAGCTTTGGTGTTTTTTCTGTAAATGTTGTTGACTGAGACAATGATACAGAATGGCTACTTGGTCTAATAAAATAATTATGAAAGAGAAGAATATACATATAAAAAAGTTGTTTAGGACCACATTTCAATATTGTAACTTAATAAAATGAAGAAATTCATTTTTTATATTAGTGAAAATTTCTAATTTAGCTCCTTATTTGAGATAACTCAAATAATAAATTCCATTAGTCTTAAAAATGTAAAAAGATGACATATCGGTAAATCCACTGTGCAATCTAATATTTTGTGAATAGAAAGAAATTAAATCCTGTGGTATATTTCATGTTGTGATTTTAATGTTATGCCACACAACTTTTTACGAATTTATTATTATTACGGTATAGACTTCTGAAAAATTTCGCTGTGAAGTCTTCCTACTAAGCTGATTTAATCGAGACTAACTCACTGGGTAACTCAATGATTTTATTATACAATTACTTCATTTTGGATGGAGCTTCAAAATTTAAGGAATGCTGTAAATTGGAAAGTCAGAAAAAATAATCTAAAACCATTATTGAATGAAGAAACAACAGTATTGTGTTTGATTTAGATGACCAGAATTCCTAACTAAACTATCCATAAACTGTATTTTATTCAGTCCCACAGTTTCCAGAGATATTATTCTAGAATAAACAGACAAAACTTTCAGGTGAACTGATCTTAAAAGTGAGACCAGACACAAAAGTAATTCTTTAGGATCTATGCCACAGTAGATGAGATACGATCTAAGTATTTACTGAATACCATCATATGAACAAATGGGAAATATCGGTAGTTTCCATATCTTCAACACTATATAAATCTTCCGTGCAGAGCAGTAGCCATATTGGTTACTTCCTAATTCTTATTAACAACAACAAAAACAACACTGTCCAGCCCACTGAATCTCTACCCCCCTTGAAACCTTTAATAACAATTTAAGTGTGAGGCATTACTATTAGTCTCGTGTTACCAAGCTGATGGTTGAATTCTTTAGCTACTAACATTAAATACTAATAAGAAGACTCTACGAAGTATCTCACTAGCTAGAACTCTGTTATCATGGTTGTTTTGTTTATGAAAACACATGTAAGCACTGAAGTATTTTTTCACTTAACCTGCACTGACTAATGTGATGTAGCGGCACAACTTAAAGAATCTCTGACGATTTAACGGTAGGTCCTTATACGCTTGTAAGTATGACAACAAAAAGGATTTTTGATCGCAGTTAATAGTAGTATGCACGATACTCGGGTAATTTTACACTACTATAGAAATAACCATAAGGTAACTTAAGAAAGATAATCATTAGAAGTTTACTAAAAACTTGGAAAAAAACATGTACTTCACATATCGCATAAAGATAGGATACGACATTGTGAAACGGAGTTTTCTCAACAGCAGGTAAGCTGTCATCTCATGCCAATCGTAACATGCAATTTTACTTATAAAGATTCCTTTAAATATTAATATCAGTCGTAGAAACTTTGTACCGAAAATAATAAAATCAATCACCTGTCCTTATCCACTAAGTTCAAAACACTACTTTCATTCGGTTCCTTTTTGAATATCTGGGTTGAATTTTGTGACGGTATGTAATGAGTTGTTGAGTTGTCTTCATCCCCTGAAGTTGACTCTGATGAAGATAAGGAAGAAGATGAAGGGGAAAGAGATGAAGCAAGATGTTCTTCGTTTAATGTCCCGCCACCTAGTTTAATTGTAATACGCAATCCTCCATTTTTATCGCTGATTTGCTTAGATGACAAAGGCTGTGAATTTGTAAAGAAGCAACTGCTGGAACTCGACACCAATTCCGACTGTCTGGACTAAAAGGAAAATAGTATTTATATCAGAACTTTACAGTTTCCGGCCCAAACTAGTACATAAACTAGTTTTATAAATGTCTAGAAACTAATTGTCATTGTACGAAGTAGTTAATTTATAATGAGCAAAAAAAGTGATAAATCATTTCAAGTTTTAAAATCAACATAAATCTATGATAGTCAAACTAATACGTAAATTAAACTAGTTGTAGCTTAGAGCTCGCTAACTTGATAATCCAACCACGATGTCAGAAACCAATAACCCTTTAAGATGCTAAAATCTGTTGTGTTATTATTAATCATCACCATTACAACAGAGACTAGAATAGTACTGATCAATAGTGTGCTTTGGATTTAAGATAACTTAATTAGAGCAAATTAATTAAAGAATAAAGTAAATATGGCATGATATTTATTCAGTTTTTCGAATACATCTTGTCTTTCAAGTAAGAATTACGATCAATCTTGAAAACTTGTAATTTGATTGATTCCACGAATGAACTCTTAAAAAAATATCATATAAATATATGAATAGCAGAATTTACTGATTACTGATAACACATAATAATAAAATAAACTTACAGGCATCAAGGTAGGAGGAAGTGCGGCAATGTGATCACTTTCAGCAGATGTTGAAAACAAAGAGGAAGAACATCGTTTTTGATCAACCGATTTACTAGATAAAGGAAGGAGAGGTGGTGGTCCAACTCCTAACTTATCCACTGGTGGAGAGGCAGTATGAGTAGTATGTATTTTATTATTGCAAGAAGTGGCTGGAGAGGTTTTTTTAGAATCTGAAAAATTCACAGGTGATAGATTTGTATTGACAGTTTTCTGAATACAGGAGCTTGAAAATAAGGACTTATTTACACCTTGAGAAATGTCATCTCCGAAATTATCACAGCCTTTTATGTCATTCATTTCTGACTTTAAAAGCAGTGATTCTTCAGGTGAAGATTTTGAAGTAGAAGAAGAGGAGAGGGAGGAATCAAGGGATGATGGAGAAGAAGGTAGCGATCTTAATGTAATTGATGCATACTGTTGCAGTTTACCAAAGCTTTCTTTGCTAAATACCGGATTCTCTGACTTCAAAAGTGATTATTGGGAACTACATTAAAGGTGGTAGTTGAAGTGTCCTTCACAGAATTATTATCTATACAAAGAATTCTAAGAAGTTCTGCTCTTTCACCAAATGTCATGGGTTCAGTTGTATCTGATGCTGGGGAGCAGATAGTTTCCATTTTTACATCAGAAGAAAACTGTGTGGTGATAGGTTCATTTTTCATAGAATCGTGAAAAGCGTCTGCATTTAGCCCTGTACGCCTTCCGGTTTTATGTACTGATCGAGTCGGTCGAGAACTTTGGAAAGAGTTGTCTGGAACGACTGCAACAGTTTGGTGATCATTTACGTTATTTTCAACCTTAGGTATACGTTCGAGACTTTGAACAGTCTGGAAAGAACGATTCTGTGACTTAATGTGAAGCTGAAAAAGAGCAAGCGACGAAAATAGTTAAGCTAAGAAATAAGTCCATCGGTCAAATATAAACAGTTAATCAGCCATCTACAACGTAAGACCAGGCACATAAATGAATCGGTTCAAGATGCCATACTCCATTAGCACAATAAGATGAACACCAAATTCACAGAAGCAGTTACTTCAATGGTAGTAATATATAAAAAAAATATTGCATATAAGGATATGATACAGCGAGAAAGAATTAGTTGGTAGAAAGAAAGATATAAAGCAATTTTAGTCTCATAGTTTAAGGGAAGACAAAGAATGTATACACCGACGCCATTGTGATCGATTCTGAGCCATGTCACCAAGAGTCTCCAACCATTGGTTACGATAGTCACGCGGACCACAACCAAGTAGTCTGCATCCACCAACATAGCTCAGGTCAGAAGTAAGTGACTTCAAGGACTGATCACACGTTTTCGTTTGGTCGCCCATAACTTTCTTCCAACCGTCTCCAAAACTAGTCAGCATTACGTGTCGTAGTAATCGGTGGTTGGGCATGTGTAATACGTGGCCAAACCATCTAAGTCGTTGAAGATTCACAACCTCATCGACTGATTTACCATCAAACCCTAATACCCTGCGTCTAACCTCACTATTACTTACCCGGTAATCCCAGCAGATGCAAATAATATTTCTAAGACATCTGTGATCAAACACTAGTAATTTACGAGTATCTTCTACTTTTAATGGTCACCCTTCGCAGCCGTAAAGTAAAATAGAACGAACCGCCGTGCAGTATACTCGTTCCTTAAGTGATAGACGGATATCTCGCCTTCGCCATAGGTGACGTAAGTTGGTAAGAACCAAACGAGTCTGTTGAATCCGTGCAGAGATTTCGTCAGACACCAACCCATTAGGACTGATCAGACTTCCAAGTTGTCGATGCGTTCGACTACTTCACATCGTATCTTTAGTTCAGGTGTTGACGCAGAGCAACAACTTGCATTTAGAGGGGAGAAGCGCATTCCAAACATCCTGGAATTGTTGCTCAGTGCTACCAAAAGACTATTTTATCAGCGTCTTCACCAGACAGGACTATGCCATCAGTGTATTCGAAGTCGATAAGTGGACCTCCTGGAAGGTGATCAATGCCCGAGAATTCACTTGACGAGAACGTTATTTCCATCAATAGGTCTATAATGAAGTTGAACAAAAATAGCGATAGTGGACAGCCTTGTCGGACACAACTTGAGGTTGCAAAAGCAGATGACAGTTCGCCATAAGCTCTGACTCGATTGGTAGTGTTCGAGTAAAGAGCCTTTATAAGGTCTATGTATTTGTGAGGTAAACCTTTCAATGACAGATAGTGCCACAGAACCTTTCGGTTTACAGAGTCAAATACTGCTTTCAAATCAAGAAAAATTATCATTAGCGGACGCCGATAAGCATGCCTGTGTTTTAAAACCTGACGAATAGTGAATATGTAGTCGATGCAGAAGCCACAGAACTGTGAACTATGTATTCGTCTAGAATTATCAATAGCATTATTATTTTTAGTTTCTCTTTAGTTTCACACTATGTTTATGAGAAGTTAAGTAGCTAATAAACAAGAATCAGTTTTATGACTTGAATGCTAGTGACCACTTACGTAAATCAATACACAATTATGCGTTTCCAGACAAGCTGCTTAGATTTATACCAATAACCGATCCCATAAATATTGTGTTCACATACTACTATAATTTTTTGCATTACTTAAACAGTTGAAAATTGATTAGAAAGACTAAATAGTGACTTTCGGATTAGATTCATTCAATAAACTGGTGTACAACTTACTGGATCTGAACACTTCCGCAAAGGATTTTGAAATAAACTATTAAATGTCGAAACTCGACACTTATCTCTTCTTCGTCCACGAGCTCTCCGCCGAAATGGGTGTGATTTAAGTCGTACACTATTTTGAGTTCCGGATGAAGTACTTCTTTCCGGAATGTTCAAAACCTTTAATTCAGATAGTTCAACACCAACAGATTTCATGCGATTCTCCAGTCGTTTCGGTGAAGTAACTAAACTAGATGATAAGACACCAGATGTTATCAGGCAATCACTATTTACAGGATTCCGTAATGGAGGAGTGCATGGTGAATCATGATCAAGATAATCTTTTCCATTCCATACAGTTTGTTTTCCATCTCCTGGATCTACTTTAGGTGCCATGGAACCATCATCAGCGGCTTTCTCTGGCAAGGTTACGGATGTTTCTTCCAAAGATTTAGGCGAATCTGAAAAAAAAACAGCAATGGCAAGATCAAACAATTGTACATAACCCCAATAGTATTTGAGGTAATACTGGAAGGTTTATCGAACGGCTACCAAGCTTGTAGATGTTCTGAATGATTTTCAACATTACTGGTTGCCATACAAAGAATGCCTGAGATATTCTATGCAATTTCCATAAAGCATAACACTAAACCATAAAAAAAACAATGGTTACTTGTTAAAATAAATCTCAATTATAAGGTGTATGGTGAGTATCAATGGATATATTATTCCACATGGTGAGTATGTGGTAATCTATTACGTACAAGTTTAAATACAAGGATTCCTCGTAATGTCTAACGTCTTTAAATTTACCATCTCAGTCATCGTAGTTCATTAATTTTTTTACCGTAATGGCAAGGAGAATCTAAATGTATCGACGGACAGTAGATATATATTCATATAAAATATTTATTTATGGAAATGATAATTCTATACGAGTGTTGCTTGATACTTCTGAATTAGTCGAGGACTGGTGAAAGAGCAAAGATTATCTTCATCATGTCCATCTATGATCAGAATTACTTTCATCTTATCTTTTACTTACTGAGAACCCATATAATGTTCGGAAAATATTCTGAACATTTTTTATAAACTCTAGGAGATACTATAAGTGGAGATTGTAACTCAGTTCTGAATCACTTCAATTCTTGTTTAGTTCAAACAATGCACATAAACAAATTCCAAGTATATACCAGCTGCAATAAAATACGCTTACAACCTAAACAAGTAAATTACAAATCACATCAAAATATTGGTTATGTCACTGATGAACTTTCAGTTGGTGCAAATCACCGAAGTGTTAAGAACTTATAATCGGATCATAGGACGAAACGGATACTTATATTTATGATTGTCACGGTGAATGAGGCTGTTGAGAGGAAGGATAACCTGGTATGGTTCAGCATCCAAAATATTGGTGCACATCACTCCATTTTTTATCCAGAACAAAATCTTTCACGTACACTTAATCTCTGTATTCGCGTTTTATGAACATATCGTACTTATTGTTGAATAACTGTTTTGTTTCTAAGTGACGATTTGAAGAGCTGTGTTATTTTTCTAAGTTCTGTTGTTGGCCTCATCATATGAAAAACACATTGGAATAAATTCTGCTCCGAAAAACATGTGCATCCAGAAACTCAAACCACCACTTAAATCTTACAATCAATTTAGTTAAATGAATACTTACTTATTGTATTCGATAATGTAGAAATATCAGAATCTAGCGGAGAAAGTTCTGTGTTGATAATATCTTCTTTGAAACTGGAATGTCCACTTGTCGGATTCAGTGGTTTTTCCATTGAATTAGTATTATCTGAATGTTGCTCTATGATAGGAGAATTTGATCTACTTGATTTTGAAACACGTTGCCTTGATAATTTACTTGCTCGACCTCGACCAAACTTAGAACACCTGTTTGCTCGACGTCCAGTAGTCAGTCTCGGAATTTTCGGAGCTGAAGAATAACTAGGAAGGAGTAAAGAGAAATACATCCACGTTGAACACTAGTGAGTCAGTTTGTTGTTTTGGAAAAGATACACAGAATATGCAACTTATTGGAAATAAAAGACAATGACTCCAAACAACAGTAACATCATTTGATTTCAGTAACGATAACACTAATGGAAATGGTAACAAGCCTAATCTCATCTTACATTAGTGGATAAAATACAGTAAAATATGGCTAGAAAAGTTAGAGAAAATTAGATTAAAATCAAGATAACCTGTAAAAAGTAGTAGACTATTGCTTTGAAACTAAGTATTATTAGGATGAATGCGAACCGAATGTTTCATCCCGTAAGTAATAATAATTTAAACTCCGAAATTACGTTAGTAAAATTCAAAAACTAGACTTAAAAAAACAGGGATAAAATGTGATTTATCCAGTGGGTAGAAAATTTTTAAAAGTTAGTTCTGAAGTATGATTATATGCACGCTTCTAGAGATTTAATACAACAGTCATAGTAGACAGCTTAGAACATTGGGGTTTTGTAAGACTTTATCTTACTAACTACTTAGGTTGAATTTTTTTTAAAAAGTGGAAAGAATTATCTACACGAAAAGTGTATGAAGGACTGCACAAAGTACGCTATACTTTATAATATAAATGAACATTTATCATTTTCTTATTCAGTTCACCTGATTGAATTGTGAGTTGAAAAAAAGGTTATTATGAGTTTTTAACAACTGGACTCACGCAAGTGAGGAAGCTTGCCGTTTATACCGTGAATCTGGCCCAACAGGCTGTTTAACAAACAACGGTGTACGTGATGAATTTGCTGCTCGTCTAATATGTGTCCAAGATGGTGTGGAACTAGGATCAAAACGACTTGGAGTATAGACGATTCGTTTCGGTTGCTGCGTCGACGGAGTAGTCTAAAAACAAGTAGAAAAATGAAATAATAGTGTAACAACGGTTATTTAGGTTGATAAAGGTTTACTTTTTTTATTGGTTTTATAAGAATCCAATGAATGTTCCTGACAGATTTTTTTCAAGTGACGATATATTTTTAGGCTGAATGAATGCTACGTGACGAACAATTAAGACCTAATTGCCTGATTACCACCATAAATTAAATTAGTGTGAAATTCTTTCAAATACGTGTGACTGTCGTTCGACACTTCCTAATACTTTCTACAGAGGTTGAATACCCCTTAACAAACAAAAACTCATGTACAATTATCACTAGCAACTGACTGCTGAACAATTTATGAATATCCAGTCAACTAAAACTTCGAATATAAAATGTCAAATTAGATAATCAAGTTAAAATGTAATGTGCAAGTCATGTGATGAAATTCGTTATTCATGAATTGTTACAAAGACTTTTGTGTGTATTACAAAGTTAACGAGTATTCTCTAATACGCCTTCATCAGTGTTAATCAATGAATTGTTAATAACAACTTACTTTCTTCCTAAAGATCAAAATAAAGATATAGCCGAAATAATGCTGCGTATAACAAACCATTCAGAGGAAAATTTGGAATTTAGAATAGCTTCTGGTGGTCGAATAAAATGAACTGGAATAAGATTAAGTGCTTAAACATAGAAAATCATTATGATATGATGCAAACCGTTCGTTGAAAAGACGAATATTCAGTAAGTTATCGTAGATAAAATCTAGATCTTAGCAGCTTATTTGCTTTGAATCGCCAACTTACCTCTTCTTCATCAATTTTATTCGAATTCATGCAAATTCTTGAAACAAAGTTAATAAACTCTAAAATGTAAACCTAATGTATTCTAACTTCTTTCATAGATATGATGAAAAAATAAATAAACATGAGACGTAGTCACTCGCCTCAGCACTATGATATTCATGACGTGAAGAAAATACGCAGAAAATTTCGACTAATTTTATTACAAAAAGACTATTTAACCGCCATTATTTCTTAAACTGTGTACGTGATACTATTAAATGACATAAAATTTCGAGCGCTAATGCACTCGACTCTCAACTGTTAGATAGTTGATTCAAACCTTGCTCCACCTATTTTGGTTTGGTAAGTTGATTAACAATATCACTAGCCCTATAAAATAAGTATATCTCTAAGACAATCACATAAACATGTACTTCGTAATTGAATTACACTGTATTTATTACAAAGCTTAACGTCACAACCGAATATGACAGATATTAACTAGTCGTTCAATATTAGTTTATTCAATTAAAATCCTAAAAAATTAATAACTCATAAAAGTGGAATAGTATTTGGTGAAAATGAAGTTATTTGATGTGAAAATGAACTAATTCCAAAGTGTGAGTATTTTTAGTTGCGTCACGTCGACATGCTCCCATGTATTATGAATGTGATACCTAAAGATTAATAATTTCAACAACAAACATGAATTCAAATGTATATGATTAATATGTTAATAGTGAGCATGTATACACCAATATAAGTTTTAGTTGTCACATAATGTCAGTCAGTCAGTCAGCTACAACGTAGGACCAGGCACATATATGCATCGGTCCAAGTTGCCATACCTCATTAACACAAGATGGGCACCGGATTCATAAAAGTAGTTAATTCAGAGGTGGTAATATATAAAAGAAGGACTGCATATCAGGACATAGTACAGGAAGAAAGAATTAATTCGTAGAAAGAAAGATATGAAGCGATTTTAATCTCTTAGTTCAAGGGAAGACAGAGAGTTTATACACCGACGCCATTGTGATCGATTCTGAGCCATGTCACCAAGAGTCTCCAACCATTGGTTACGATAGTCACGCGGACCCAAATCAAGTAGTTTGCATCTACCAACATGGCTCAGACTAGAAGTTAGTGACTCCGAGCACTGATGCCACGTTTTGGTTTGGCTGCCCCTAACTTTCTTCCAACCACCTCCAACACCGGTTAGCCTTGCACGTCGTGGTAATCGGTGTTCGGGCATACGTAACACGTGGCCCAACCATCTCAGTCGATGAAGATTCACAACCTCATCGACTGATTTACCATCAAACCCTAATACCCTGCGTCTAACCTCACTATTACTTACCCGGTGATCCCAGCACACGCCAGCAATATTTCTGAGGCATCTGTAATCAAATTGTAGTAGCTTACGAGTGTCTTCTACTCTTAATGGCCATGTTTCGCTGCCGTAAATTAAAACAGAACGGACTGCCGCGCAGTATACTCATCCTTTTATTGATAGACGGATATCTCGCCTTCGCCATAGGTGACGTAAGTTGGCAAAAGCCAAGCGAGCTTTACGAATCCGTGCTGAGATTTCGTCAGACACCAACCCGTTAGGGCTGATCAGACTTCCAAGATAAGTGAAGTTGTCAACGCGTTCGACTACTTCACTCCCTATTCTTAGTTCAGGTGTTGACGCAGACCAGTCCTGAAGCAACAACTTGCATTTAAAGGAAGAGGCGCATTCCAAACATTCTGGCATTCCTGCTCAGTGCTACCAAAAGACTCTGCATTTTATCAGCGTCTTCACCAAACAGGACCACGTCATCTGCATATTCTAAGTCGATAAGTGGACCTCCTGGAAGGAGATCAATACCCGAGAATTCAGTAGACGAGAATGTTATTACCATCAGTAGGTCTATGATGAAGTTAAACAAAAATGGAGAAAGTGGACAGCCTTGACGGACACCACTTGAGGTTGCAAAAGCAGATGACAGTTCGCCATAAGCTCTGACTCGATTGGTAGTGTTCGAGTAAAGAGCCTTCACAAGGGTTATGTACTTCTGAGGTACGCCTTTCAATGACAGACACTGCCACAGAATCTCGCGGTCTACCGAGTCAAATACTGCTTTTAAGTCAAGAAAGACCACCATTGTCGGACGCCGGTAAGTATGCCTATGTTCTAGAACCTGACGAATGGTGAATATGTGGTCGATGCAGCCACGACCAGGTCTGAAGCCAGCTTGATTCTCTCGTGTTTGCAGTTCACGAGTCTTAGTTAAGCGTCTGATAATTATCGAGGCTAGTATTTTAGATACTATATTAGTTAAACTAATCCCTCTATGGTTGTCACAGAATGATTTTAACCCTCTCTTATATATTGGGACGATAAGTGATTGTGACCAGTCAGATGGAATAACGTCTAACTCCCAGATCTTAGCTAAAATATTAGTCAGCCTAATCGCTAAAATTGGACCATCATCCTTAAAGACCTCTGGAGCCAATCCATCTGGACCAGCTGCCCTTCCTCGTTTCAGACTAACTATAGCCTTTTTGTTTGCTAAAAATAAACTATTGTCTGAGCACAGTTGCAGCAGACGATCACCATTATCTGTTCGCTGAGCCGGAATACTAAAATACCCACCTAAATGCCTTTCTGTTTAGTTTAAGCTACCTATCTGAGCATTAAAGTCACCCCCTACGAGTACTATGTCTGAGCGTTTAGCTTTCTGAAGAAGTTCAGAAAGCTTTCTGTAAAATTCATCTTTCACATCATCTGAGCTGCAGTCAGTGGGAGCGTAGGCAGAAACGACGAAAAGGCAACGACGTGTGTCCCTATCCTTCCGAGTTCTTACGGAGCCGTTTAGCCGAACAGCACATAGAAGACTGTTAACGGGGATCCACTCTAACAGTGCTTGTTCCGCCCTCATGCTTAGTACTATCCCTACTCCTGCCAGTCCACGAGAGCTGGCCGTCGGGCCACCAGATACACAGAGGGTGTATATCTCGTCGGCTCTCCGTTTTGCGGAGGTGAGGTCAAGTGAATGACCACACCAGGGTCATTTATGCGTGTTTCAGAGACACAGCATACATCAATGGTACGAGATTCTAGGGTTTTAGCCAAGGAAGCCTGTTGACCGATTTGACATAGGGTGCGTATGTCACATAATGAATAGAAAACTTTCGATTCCGTACATATAGATACCCATTATTGTTCCTTATTACCTTTCTACGCTGCATAAATGAAAAATTGCTAGAAAGCAATGTATATTAAAATTCAAAACTCCGATCAACGAACCTGTAAGAGTATTCCTAGTTTTTGGACAAAGTTCATGTCAAGCAGTTTGAAAATAAACTATGGAAAATTGCATCTCAGCGAAATCAAAAATAAATGAGTAATCAACGTACCTTGTCATAAATGACGAGTCAACAACTCAATTAAAATAACGTGACAAAATTCATAGAAATAAATTATATATTGGAAGTCAACATTTCAAAATAATTGGAAGGTCGTCAATGAATGAGCAGTAACCTACTTGTAGAGCAGCTGCCCACTGTGCATCACTAGCACCACATTGTTTTGCGGGTGAGGGTGGAGACAAATATGAATTTTTTGTATCCTCTGGTGTTGAGTCGTATGCAAGTTCTCTTTTTGAGATAGATGAAAAGTAATTATTTGTCGAACCCACATAATTGTCCGGAATCGGTGACTCCGACAAAACATCAGAGGCTTTCCATGGAGGACAATGCTCCACCAAGCACTTAGTTAGAGGATCAACTGAAACACATGTCATATGATATGTAGATCTGTTGGCCCATTCAGGAAGTGTACGAGCAACGGTTGTTACAGCACTACTGGTTGCACCAGTAAGACAATTGGAACTAGTAGATACCGTATTAGGTGAGGAGGGAGATAAACAAGTATTGAAAGCAAATTCTTTGATGCTTGGTTCTGCCTGAGATGTTTGACTTCCTATGAAATATTCTGGAAGTATTTTTAATACTTACCAAAGTCCTCGCGATAATTTAACGGCAAATGGCGAGGGATGAAGGGTGGCCGCTCTTCTAATTCAGGATGATCTTCAGGTGGGATATTTAAACACGATTTTCCGTAAACCGGCCCACATGTCATAGTAGGCGCTCGTGTAAAAAACCGACTGTTCTCTATGACAAACTTGGCAAAGCCTTGAGGCGTTTGACCCATCAAACGCAAAGCTAGAAGTCCATCTGCAACCTGTGCATAACCGTCTGGGAAAATATCAACGGAAAATATGGATACCTGAGGCCGTCAACGTATATACATTTCTAACTAAGGAGAGGAAGTATGCTTCCACAACGCTAATTAACAATTCAAGTGAGGCTTCCGTGATTTGTTCGAAGCCAACTTGACCACAGAGCTGAGCAATTACCTGAATCATCGCACTTCTGAAGTCACTTGACATTGCAGAAGAAAAACTGAAATAAAAATTAAAAAATGTAGCGAGTTTTATGCACAATTAAAATTTTCGGTATAATTTTATGACTGCTTAAGAAAAGAAAAAAGAATTTGAATCGTCTAAAATAAATCAATTTTATCATTGCCCTATACAGGCTGAAACAAAAGATAATATTTGACTAGATAGAGTCGAGATACAGAAGTGGATACAGTTACACATTTCATACACATAGTTCCCTTTATTATTTTAAAGAGTAAGAACAAAGGTTGGTGCAGAATAATATGAATTCATTTTATTTCGTTAGGTTCTCATCAGCTGCTTACAACCTAAAATATTTGAAATTCAACGTTATTATAGATATTGACATACTTATACAACAGAGGGCGATGAAGGATGAATATATGTAACATAATGTGGCAAAGATTTCGTTAGAGTTAATGAGGTCATAAAATTTTGTTTCGAATATATAGAGTTTGGGAGGGAAGGTTCCAGAAAATTGAAAGTGATTAGAAATCATGGAATTAAAACACATTAGACGATTATGTAATGAAGTAACTGAAAATAAATTAATGTTAATAAAGAGAGATATGAATTGAAATTGGTCAGTTATGAATGATGTAATTATAAAATTCAGAAAGAGTTGAAATGACGCAATAAAAAAATAAATAAAATAAAAGGGGGTGGGGTGAATGTTACCAGGGCAAAGAAAGATTTATTACTGTTTCTTTTTGTATACAAAGATCTGGTTTTAAACGTTTGATTGCTATTGCTTCCGAGAATTTCAAAAGGTTTGAATTTGATTGTTTGTTGATCACCTTGAAGGACTTCAGTATATCGACTTCGTGTCCTGTGTCAAGATGTTTTGCGACAGCGCTGCTAAATGCTTTTAGTCCGTTTGATCTCAAACTGTTCGGAATATGTTCTTTGAATCGGACGTAGGCTCTCCTTTCTGTTCTACCAATGTAACTGCTTTGGCAGATACATTGATTGTCCTGTTCTTTGACACAATCAAAGGTCGACAGGTATCCCTTTCATGTTACCACCAAATGTGTATACAATTTTACATGTATCTGCCAAAGCAGTTACTCTCTTTAAAAGTTACACATTTATTTATTTATTATGTATTTTAACACATAAATACTGGTACTGTTATGTTCTGATAAGCATAATGAGTGGTATTTTTTAGGATCCATTTATGGACCGATACTAAACATATATTTTTATCGTATAATTGTTAAGTGGCTACACTATTCATATCCCTCTTATTATGAGCCTTATTTTGACGTACGAACTATTATTATACGATTTACCATTCTTAAATTATTCCTTGTCTATTAATCACTACCTCCCACATTCAAAGCCACATTTGGCCAGATGTTTCCTATTTTATGGTACGATGTGGTCTGTTTGATTGGCAATATAAACCCCGTATGTTTGAAATAAATGATTCATATTGCACAGGCTGAGATTGGTGTTCTGGACTCAACTGGCTGGGCTGGGCGGAAAGCAGGACTAATCAGAACTCTAGACTGCTCGCACGCGTCTTATGCATCATTGGTCCGATCGATAATTCACTGCTCTCTAATTGGCGGTAACGTGACGTTATCCATTAGCAGGGCACAGGCTACAAGTCATAACAGGTACAAAGAGGCACTGAATACATATGTGTCACACAAGTCACTTGATTTGTGTGTGGGCTCTGATACCCGGATACCCAGGCCAAAGAAGGTGGTTTTCTTAGGGGGTCACACCCGGAGCCTTCGACCTAAAGGTCTGACCTACAACGCAGTGGAGCAACGTCAGATGTAGTCCCATGGTAGCCGGTGACCAACGATAGGTTCATACGCCATTTGTTCCCTCACAATCTCGGAGCCCATGTACACCACTGGCTTGGAATCAGGGTTTTCCAACTTCTCTAGGTTCATCCTCCGTATACGCTGACACGGTTTAAAGAGACGGACATTCGCCTTTCGTCCTCTCGATTTCGTAAACAACACCCCACCCACGAGAAGGCAGTGGTTGTATGCATGTGGTCACTTAAGAGCATTTCGAGGAGAGTTGACTCTCCCCACTCTCGGCCTTACCAGGGCATTTGACGGCCATGCAATTGAAGGTGTGCTACAAAAATACTCGAAGCCTACAACATAAAATAGCCGAGCTCAAGACAGTGGTGGATATAGAAAACCCGGATGTCACTACTGTCTCAGAAAATGCTTAACGTTCAGTCAACGTAGAGCTTCGTACGTACGTATATCAGTTCGAGTTGCCACACCACATTAGCAAAGAGATACAGTTGTCGACTCAAATTCCGTAGTGATAGAAGTAGTAAAAGTATAAGCAGTAATCGGAAACATTAGGGCTTGAAGATGTTATTCAAGGAGTATAATACAGTGAAATAAATTTGGAAAGAGAAAAAAGGGACATGAAGAATTCAGAAGATTAGAATTTGGGAGAACACAAAGAGTGGGTGCACCTGCGCCATTGCAAACGATTTTGAGCCATATCATTCAAGGTCTCTAACCATTGGTTGCTATCATCACGCGGATCCCAACCAGGTAGTCTACACCTACCGACATGGCTCAGTCCACTTGTCAGTGACTTCATGGATTTGTGCCATGTCTTGGCCTAAACGTCTGCTTTCTTCCAACCTACTCTTACACCTTAAAACATCGCTCGTTGGAGAAGCCAGTGTTCGGGTACACGCAACACGTGTCCCAGACAGCTCAACTGATGAAGTTTCACTACTTCGTCAATTGATTTGCCATCCTTACCTAGTACCCGTTTCCTAACAACTGCGTTACTTACTCCATGGTCCCAGGATATACGAGCAATGCTTCGGAGACACCTATGATCAAATACTAGTAACCTACGAATATCCTCTACTCTTACCAGCCATGTTTCACTGCCATAAAGTAGGACGGAACGATCTGCTGCGCAGTAAACACGTCCTTTGGTAGGTCGATGGATATCTCCCCTACCCCATAAATGACGCAAGTTGGCAAAAGCTAATCGAGCCTTCTGTATCCGTGCTGAGATTTCGTCACACACCAGACCACAAGGGCTGATGAGACTTCCAAGATAAGTGAAGCGGTCGACACGCTCAACTACTTCCCTCTCTATCACTAGTTCGGGTGTCGATGTAACCCAATCCTGAAGCAACATTTTGCATTTCGAGGGAGAGAATCGCATCCCGAACATGCTTGCATTGTTGCTTAGAGTGGTCAGAAGACTCTGCATTTTGTCAGCGTCTTCACCAAATAAAACTATGTCATCGGCATATTCTAAGTCAACAAGTGAACCTCCTGGTAGAAGTTCAACCCCTGGAAATTTAGATGAGGAAAGTGTTATCTCTAAAAGTACGTCGACCACAAAGTTGAACAAGAATGGGGAGAGTGGACAGCCCTGACGAACACCACTTGAGGTAATCAATTCTGATGACAGTTCGCCATAAGCTCTCACTCTACCAGTTGTGTTCGAGTAGAGAGCCTTTATAAGGTTAATGTACTTCTTTGGTACTCCTTTCAGTGACAAACACTGCCATAGAACCTCACGATCAACAGAGTCGAATGCCGCCTTAAGGTCGAGAAATACTACCATTGTGGGGCGTCTGAATGTGTGTCTGTGTTCTAGAACCTGACGTAGTGTGAATATCTGATCTATACAACCACGTCCAGGTCGAAAACCAGCCTGGTTTTCTCTAGTCTGCTCTTCACGAGCTTTAGTTAGGCGTCGAAGTATTATTGAAGCTAATATTTTAGACACTATATTAGTCAAACTGATTCCTCTGTGATTGTCACAAGAGGACTTTTGTCCTTTCTTATAGACTGGCACAATCAGTGATTGAGACCAGTCAGATGGGATTACGTCCAGTTCCCAAATTCTACCTAAGACCTCAGTTAATCTCACTGCTAATACTGGACCACCATCCTTAAAAATCTCAGGAGTAAACCTGTCAGGGCCTGCTGCTCTCCCTCGCTTCAGATTTCCTATGGCTTTTTCAACTTCGTAAAGAGTCGGACGACCTACATTAACTTGCCATTCAGGTTGACTGGAGATCGTGGGAAACCGAAGTGTGGCTGAAGGCCAGTTGAACTGATCCCTAAAGTGTTCTGCCCATCGATCCAATCTCCTGGATTGAGAATGTATAATATGTCCATCTTTTTGAAATTGTTTCGCTAACAGTTGGGTCCCTAATACCGGTTTCCTTAGCAAGTCTGAATAATTGTCTGCTATTACCTATTGCCGCTACCGTTCCCATCTCTCTCGCTTTCGCTACCCACCACTGTTCACGATCATTGCGTAGGCTTCTTGTCAGCTTGTGCTTAAGCTGACTCCACTCTTCGTTACGTTTAGGGCCAGATGGAATGAGTTTTCGAGCATATATATATATATATATATATATATATATATATATATATATATATATATATATATTCTTAGCTTGACTATCATTAGGTAAGGCCCTAAGAGGTTTTCTTGCAGCGTCTTCCCTACGTCCAGTAAGACGCAGACAAACAAGCTCACACTAGAGCATGATCTGAATCTAAGCATGTGCTCCAGAAAGAGCGACAGCCTTCTATCGAGCCCCTCCATCTGTGGCTGATAGCGATGTGATCTATTTGGGTCCAACGTTGGGACGAATTAGGGGATCTTCATGTCAAAAGATGTTTTTGCTTATGCTTAAAGTTAGTATTTGCAGGAAGCAGGCAGTTATTTTAACATAGCTGCAACAGACGGTCACCATTATCTGTTCTTTGAGACAGGACACCATAAGATTCACCCATGTGTTTTTCCCTTTCGTTTAGTTTACCTACTTGAGCACTGAAGTCACTAGTACTACATCAGAGCGTCTAACTTTTTTGAGGAGGTCAGAAAGCTTTCTGTAAAGCTCATCTTTTACATCATCTGAGCTGCAGTCAGTGGGAGAATGGGCAGAGACAACGAGTGTCCCTACCTTTCCGAGTCCTTATTGTTCCGTTTAGTTGGACAGCGCACAAACGACTGTC